CCAAAAAATTTGTTAATTTTTATCATGTCTTTATTTATATCATTGTTTAAATAATCATTTTATTTTATTTTTGTAGGGAAAAAGAAAAGAAAAAAAATGGGATTTTCAAAATTAGAAAAAAGAATATAATAGTAGAAATTCCCTTTGTCTTTAACCCAACAAAATTTCCCCCAAACCCAAAAAAAAATTCCCCCCAAAACCCATGTCAAAAACCTCCCAGAAGCCTAAGGCAAACCCAATATAAATCTGGAAAAAGAAAGAAAGAAAAAGACCCATCAGCCCATTCCTATGTTTTTCTCAAAAAAAAAAGAAAAATGCTGCAATTGCAGCAACGAAGATAGTACAAGAATTTGGTTTTTGAGACAACAAAAAATTCGTTTTTGCTTCTTATCTCTTTCCCTTCAAGTTTAGCAAGCACTTGGACACCTAATCATAAAAAATCTAGCAAGAGAGAGCGGTCAAAAATCATCAAAATTGCTCAAAACATGCCACATGAACTCATTTCTTCTTCCTTTTTTTATCCCAACCATTCATTTTAGGTTTGAGGTTTTTTGGTCTCATTTAAATAGCAAAGAACGTAAATCAGCAGGAAAAGAGAAACAAAAAGCAAAAAAAAAAAAAAGGAAGAACATTTTATGCAGAAAAATCTGAGAAAAAAGCTGGGAAATCAGCTCTGTTCCGGAGTGATATTCTCTTTTGTTTTAGATCCTTTTGGAGTAATTATTTTTTCTACGCCTTCTAGAGATATAGAGAAAGAACTTTTATGTTGAAACTTTTCCCAGATAATCAGTATAGACCCCTCAAATTGCAGCCCAAACTTCGCTCCTCGAAACTTTTTTCTGCAAAAATTGAGCCAAGGCTGACTGAACAGCCCTGTTCATCTGCATCTGCTGAATTCATCCGACCTCTGTTTGGCCAAATATTTGTTGCTGAACCATCTATGCTTGTAGGAGAGAAAATTATGTGCTGAACATTTCCTGAAACAACATCTCCAAGCCTCTCAAATTGGAGCTTGAAATTATGGCATCATCAGTACTTGGACCACTGCAGCAAGAGCTTGCTTGATTCGATTTCCACATTTGGGAGCATTTTTTTTTTTTTTAGTTTCTCCATATTGGTTCGAGTTTGCAAACATCTTTAAGTAATTATAACCCTTTCTCTCAATTGATTTAAAGTTTTCCATGAGATTTTAAGCCATTACATTAGCTTTTATAAGTTTTGTGTCTTAGATCTCATTTTTCTCATAATTTATAGTATTTGATGGTTCGGTTTGATGTTTAAATCAATTCATGAAATCATGGGAAGCATGCATATGAAAAGATTCGGTCTCAAAAGTTAAAAAAAAAAAGGACTTCCGGCGAGATTCCGGTAACTTTGACGGAAATATTTTCAATTTCCAGCGGGTTGATTCACCAAAAACTTCATACCCTTTGGAAAATTCTTTATATTTTTCCTTCTTTTTTTGCTCCAATTATTTTTGTTTTGTCCTATTATGTTTGATCCATTAAGATGTAAAATTGGGTTTGTTTTTGGGTTTGAAAACCGGGTCAAAGACTTTATTTTTGGCTGGGTTTGCATATGAGTTATGATGCTTCGGCCTAACCTTTTTTTGTTGGATTTGGTTTTAAAAATGATGGGCTGATCCATTTTTCTGGCTTGGGCCGAAGAGATTTCTGGTCCTAAAAATAAAACAAAAATGGCCCAATAATGTTTTCTTAAGAAATCAAAAGCGAAATTTTATAATCAGTCCCCTGATCTTTTGAGTAATCTCGTTATGGCCATAAAATTTTGAATTCTTTCAATTACGTCCTTAATTTAATTGCATTTGGTGTCTAGGCTTTATTTTTCTTTGATTTTGACCTCTAATCTTCGTAAAAATATAATATAACCCAAAAACTTTTCAATATTTGCAATTGAGTCTCTAATGGTTTTGATTTCTTAAGTATAATTGTTTGCCTTCTTTAATTATTAGCCATGCTTCATTTGAATGCATTTAATTAGTAAAGGGTGTTTATATTTATTCATATTTCTTTGAAGTAAATAAAGTGGATTTGCTATGTGTTTATATTTTTCTTTTAAATTATTAATTAAATTGGTATCTTGACTATTTTGTTAATTTTGGAGTATAAATAGGGCAAATTCAACCTCATTTAACCACTATTTCAAGAAAGGTACCTTCTATTATTATTTTAGTTCTTTTATGTTCTCCTATGTGTTTCTTTTGTGTGATTGCATGTTTTGAATGTTTTTTTTATTTACTCATTTTATCCATTTTAAGTTTCCATTCATTTTATTTAATTTTGATGATTATTTGGGAGGCATTAAAATGTTAATTGTAATAGATAAGTACCCAAGAAATGTGTGTAGTTAAACCATGTAATAGATAGATTTTATTTTTGTCAAAAATATAATTAGTTAGATAAATGTAACAGATATGTTTATTATTTTCACAATTCCCCTTTTAGATTATAGTTAGGACTTCCAATGTAATAGTTAGATCTTATTTGCTAGCATACTTATGTGTTTATGTATTTTTTCGCTTTCCTAGGACTTTATATTTAGATGTTATGTCTATGTGCTATGTGCTTTATGTGTTAATTCCTTTAGTCTCTTTAAAGACTGACAGAATCCTTGCAAGCAAAGTCGAAAGACATTGTTAAAGCTTAATGACCTTTTCCACAAGAATGGCACCTAGATGCGTTGTGAAGGGAAGCAGCAGAAACCTGTTGATAGTTTCTTTCTGCACGAGATGTGTTGCTGAACATGTATTTTCTGTTTTTGAGGCCTTTAACTTAGGACACTAGATAGAATCTAGGTTACTTGATATTGGAGGGAGAAAAGAAAAGTCATATGCAGTTTTATCTCTGAATTCACTTTTAAGGGAATAAATGGGAGAAAGCTGAAATTACCAAAAAAAAATGGGAGGTGGTTAAGAGAATACTAAGTACGGTCACATGCTGGTTAAAACTGAATTCAGTCAAAACTATCCCATGCTTTTAAGGGAATACTTTCTTCCCAAAAAAAAAAAAAAAAAGCTATCCCACCACCACTTTTGAGAGGACGGGAAATGGGAGGTGGGACATTTTTTAGAAAAATTTGCCATGCATTTTCTGGTTCGAGACTTGGTTAGAAATAGGTTGCATGACTAAATACGTGTACGAGAAAGAGATGACAGTAGCAGTAAGTGGGAGGTAAGAAGTAGAATGTAAAAGATCAAGGCTTCACTATGAACCTGTAAGACCCAAGAGAACGACTGTGTTGTTTCATCTCGTAAGAGAGCACAGTCGAGCAAAATTGCTCTCCCATGATTGCTTATGCCAAACCAAGCCCTAAGTGGTAGATTGTAAGTAATTGAACTTTAAGTGGTGTCAAATGTAACAACATCACCAAAAGCTGAAAATGCACGGACGGAGTCTCCATAAGCCCGTGCATGTTTTCTACTCAGCAGTGTTGTTGTAGACTAATCCATCATCCTTGTGTGCCATGGCTTTACAACCCTCAAGATGCTCTTGGAGATCATTCTCCCTCTTCTCGTATGAGACAACCATTCCCCGCCCCCCAAAAAAACACAATCATTTCTATTTTACTCTTATTTTTTCTTCCCAACGTGATAATTTCTATTCCACCCTTACGTCTACTCCGATTTTACACTAAAGGAAAAGGGCAAACCCAAAGGGGTTAATAAAGACTTTGAGGGGAGGGGATTGAACCGTTACCGGATCAAACGGGTGCATAGTGCATCCTCTAGCGAAAGAGATTTGATCCCTCGACCTATAACTAAAGGAGGATCGAAGTCCTTTCTTAGTAGGGATGTTCATCAGCTGTTAATCGGGAATTCAAAAAAAAAAAATTCAGAGATTTGATAACCGATTTGTCAAGATAAATATCCGATTACCGTTCAAACTTTAGTTTGGTAAATTAGATTTTGGTTGGAGAATTGGTAGTTTGGTAACATCCGAAATTCGAAATGTCGATGGTAAGCTAAAATATTTCAATTTTCTATAAAAAAAATATTATTTCACCAAAACAATATTGTATATTTTTTCAGCTTTTAAATAATAATAATAATAAAAACACCAGCACATGATCAGCCATCAACTCATCATGACATTAAGTAAACAAAAAATAACAAATCAATGTTGCATCTTGTCATTTCCCCTGTCCAAACTCCAACCAATTCTGTAATGCTGTAAACCAATACTAAAATGTCAAATAGTTAGTACATAGAGTAGTTAAATAGTCAATGGTTAAACTAGTCAATAAATTTGTTAGTAGTAATATGTAGACATCAATTACTGGTTAAGTAATTATTAGTTACTATTTACTAATTAGTACTTGGTAATATGTATGGACATAACTAATATATATGTGTATATATTCTAAAATTTAATAATCCAAATTTGGTAAGTTTCACCACTAAATAATGAAACATTTGATAAAAAGTTCTTTCATGTCATGATTTTGAACTTATAAAGGATTCTCACCGAATGCACTCACTCTCAAAAAACAACACAAGCCTTAAGACATAGGCTCTTGGTACCACATTGTTGGTTTTTTAGAGTATAAACTAAAAAATAACACCTTAGTATTGCAAAAAAATAACTTGTAAAAGACTTGTATGAAACTGGAAATGAATTTATGTTATTTATTTATCAACTCACTATTTATAATAATTACATGAAACAAACTATGATAATTTCTAACTAATAATTATCCTAAAAAATCTCAACAAAACTACTTGATAACATAATGTTCTACTGGCACATCTTAGCTAAAATATTTTGTTAACAAACCAATATAATCTTTGGTTAGCAAATATTATAACAAGACTTATTCTTCTATTAACTAAATTATTATAATATTAAACACAATCTACAAAAATTTGTAGGAAAAATTGGCATATCTCAACAATTTGAAAAAGCAATAGATACCTACAGAACAGCGAAAAGAAATCAGCTGCACTAGGATAATACTTTGCTGCCATAGCATGAATAATCCACTTAGGTAGAAATAGTGTAAGATACTTTTCGAAGAGCAATACATTGTAAAACAAAAACATGTTCATCCAATGGTTTGGCATCACCGGCATTTAATAGATACATAACCAAAAGCATAAGGCTAGTAGAGGTAGTAGACGTGGTAATGTTGTCTAAATCACAAAAACTTCATAGTTAGATCTGAACATTCAGACAATAGCTATTTTAATCCAGTACTAGATTATTATGAAAATATGTTCAACATAATGCTAATTTTGTCTTCTTGGTAGTGCTAATCTGAGCAGTTTCGAAACCGGCTAGTGGGCTGGTTACTCCGAGATTGTCTGTTTCATCGAAATTGCTTGCCATATTGATGCAGATGCTTGTCGAAGGGCTCTTATTCTCTAGTAAACAAAGATGTTTGAGGGAAATAGGTTAGTCATTTAATTTGGATCTTAGACTGAGTATATCGTAAAACACTGTTAGTAAGTGGTCCAATATTGTCAATATTTGTGAGAATATTATCCTGTGTTTCAAGGGGAGTAGCTTGCATTGGAGAGTCCAGTAAGAAAGAACCAGGAGTTTCGAGCGAGTTCTGATGTACCTTCACCCTGATTTTCTTCATAAAAATGCACAACAGTGTAGCGTTGCTGGAGATATCCATAGCGGCTCTGAGCTGGCTGTATCTGGACCGCAAACAGTTTAGTTTTCAGAGCTTCGTGGACATGTTCCAATGGAAGCTCAACATTCTAGTAAAGGGACACAACAACACATATATTGTTAACCGCATTAGAAATTTGAAAAAGAAATTGAATGAGCAAATTGCCTGTGAAAGGAAGATTACTCTAATAAAGTACTGCATGGCATCCAGAGCAGAGTAAGTCAAAAGCTTCTCAGCTAATTCACCAAATAAAGTAGCTGTTACATTTCCAGTGTTATCAGCAAGATTAACATCAAAACGGCATCTGTGAAAGAATCCCAAAATCTCAGTAACTAATATGATATTAGAAAAATAATCTAGACAGACATAGATTGACAAAAAGTATGGCGATAGACCTTGGTACAGCTTCCTGGTATTCAGAACATTTGTTACATAAGTATGGATGTCCATGAGAAGCATCAGTTGCTTTGTAGCATTTCTTACATGCCATATACCAGTAACGCTAGAAAATGTTTTGGAATGATATGAAAGCCTTGACCCAAGCAAACTAACACCGAATGCACCCAAAAGTTCAGTCAAATGATAACAATGGCATCTATTTTTCGTGCAAGCTTCTCTATTATTACCTTCTGAGTTGGTTGCAAATAAAAAATGAGAGTAAACTTCTGAGGAGATTGTAGAAAGAGATTTGGGTTGTATCGAGTATAAGATTTTTCTTTAATGATCTGAGCAAAAAGCACTGCATTCTGTCCAGCCCTGATGTCATTTTTTATTATGAGAGATATAAGCACATAAAAGTATTTTAGTGTGAATTGAATGTGTACAAGAATTAACATTTGCTGGTACCAGATCTTAAGTTGCCTAGCTTCATGAGCAGGAGGATCGACCAGAATAGTTGAATCCAGCCTAGTAGACAGGGTAACCCCTTGCAAAAAGTAGTAAAAAGTAATAATGTTAGTTGCTTGTAACAATATACAGACACACAATTGTAAGGTAACTCAGTATTGCAAGTGGTATAGCAATTTAATTGGTATAATTACCGTTGAAAAACTTAACCTTCAGCCTTCTGCAAATGATAACCGGGAAGTTGTTTATGGTTTCTGCTATCTGTTGGCCTTCAATGTCTATAAACTTATTGAACATTGATAGTTGGAGAGGTATATGTCTGCATTTGTTTACTTAGAAAATCTAATGAGTAAGTTACAGCCAAGAGGAGATATAGTAACAAGAGTGGTATAAGTTGAGAAAAATGTTTACTAACTCTTCATTGATGATGACAAAATCCTGCACTTTGCCAGGTCCAAATTCATTTGTGAAAGTATTTATTGGTAACACAGAGATAACAACTGCCAGGATGTCTAACATGTAAAACTAAGTAGCAATGATTAATAGATAATCGAGCGAGAATAGATTACAATAACATATATGAGTCGTAATTTTCACTAACCAACAGCTTGCTCTTTCAGCTCCATGAATTGGGCTAATTCTTTAAACATGGTGTAGGATAACTTTGAAGATGTTATATCAACATCAATATACCTACATTGCAGGAAGAAAATAATTAGGCTACATTGTATTCCAAGTCATAGTAAGAAAATAATCAGGTTTACCATATTTGTGTACCAAGGCCATTGCATCAATATACCTACATCGCATATCTTTAGGTCCACCAATGACAGAGGCTAGCAGGACTATTTCTAGGCCGACTTTGTTTCCATCTATCTCACCTATTGAAAGGCTATCTATTACTCTCTGCAATATTTCTATCCTGACCTCATTCTGCCTCCTCCGACAATCATCTAGTCTACATGTTTCAATTTTTATGCAAATATCTAAGGCAAATTGTTGTAAGAGCCTGCCTGTATGGAGTAACATAGATCTATCATCATCTCTCATCAGAAATTCACAATAATATTCTCTAGTAGTGACATTATTTTCATCTGTTTTCCCAGCGGCAGCAACTGCAATTTATACATTTAAACAACCTGAGAATACTCTAGAGAAGAATAAAAATAATAAGCAAGTTGAAATGGAGTTGTTTAAAACAAAGCAAAAGGGCTTGCCTCTTCGTTTAGAATTACTCATATCCAGAATACTACTTGATGAGGTGGGATCAAGTTGGTTATTCTCATCACAAGATTCAGATGTCTTCCATTTACTTGAGCATTTTCTTTTGATGTTACGATTCCATCCTGTTTCACCATGATGGAACTGGGGAAGACCTTAATAGTGGTGTATGCGATGACTCGTATTAGAATGGCTGTACGCCTGGATATGAGCACCTTGTTTGAGAGTTCTATCCTCATTTTCACTCCAGATGGCTGCTACTTGTGAGGATGTAGGAAGATTATAGACACGTTGGTCTAAACTGGGATCAAAATTGAGGACAATGTTATGATCTTTAGATCAGAGATATTTTGAGATCTTCAAAGAACTTAGTATAAGGATTGTTGGAAACGATGCACATCAGTAGCTTAAGTGTGCTTTCACAAAACATCTCTGAAATGTTCAGCCTCTTTGACAGCTCATTTTCTGTATAAAAAATGTATAGCTAAACTCCAGAAGCCTTACCATCTGATGCCATTAAGCTATTGAGGAAATGGTAGACCTGCCCCTGAACACGGAAGGCATAGACACCATTGGTGTTCTTAGTAAGTTCTGAGTCATACTTCGTTCCAACCAAAGTGAGAACTAAATTGTTGTTATAAGATCTAATGTTTATATGGAATTCAACACTCTCCTTGTCAGTTCCAGTAAGCAAATGACATAAATCGTAAGGTATTGCAACAAAGGAAGAGGAACTTCTCCTCCAGAGCAGCAAAATTTGCTAGTTCTAGATGGAACCTTTTGGCAGTCAGGAGCATCAGGCAAAATCATAGATTTTCTGGGCAATTAATACAATGCAGATGATCTTGATTGGCTATCATTATTTGTCTTTGCTGTGAGATAAGTATATAGGGCATAAATATTTTGAGAGGAATAAATAACATTAGCACCATAGCATGGTTGAGAGTAACCAAATAACCAGTAGGAAAGAAACTTAAATAGCAACCTAACCTACGGGGCTGCCTGTTTACTATTGTGGGTTGGGGAGGCCTAGTTGCTAGTTGTTGATAAAGAGGATGTTTGGCAGAGAAAGACAATGAGCAGAATTGAAGAAAACAGAAACAGTAAAGTTACCGAAATCTTTATCAAAGAAACGAAGAATGAACCATTGGATAGAAGGGAATCTTTATCAAAGAAAGAAGGATAAAAGATCAAAGATAAACAGATAGCTGTAATAGCTCCAGGATTTCTGATAATATGCATGGCGCAGAGGATTTCAAGAGACATAGGAATGGTGAACAACCAGAGGTTAAAAAGGAAAAGAACCGTGTAACCTCCAAAATCAGAACCTTCAGAAGTCCCTACATTTGCAGAGGCATTTTCTTGATTCAGAGGTGAGGAGGTATGTCTTGCACACTTCGAGGAATCCAAATTAGTGAATACATTCTCAAACAGTTTGGTCAACCGCTCATCATCTGAACCACCTAATTACGAGGAGCAGTTGGGGTAGATCCAGGGTTCACCTCGCTGTAGCTAAAAGTAGGGCCAAAGATTCAGTATTGACATCATCATTACTGAGCCCAGAATTCGGGCGAGTCGAAGCTGGACAATTTCTACATGACCTAAGCCTGCCTTAGTAATATAAGTTTTTTGTTCTCTTTTGACTGTTTGCTTCAGTTGAAGCAGCAGTAGAAGTATTCCTTTTTTCTGCATAAGCCTCTCATTGAACTGTGCAATAACTTTTCTCATGAGATGACATTTCTGCATAGCACTTACCCTGGTGAGCATTTCTACCGTCTAACTTAAAGGGATATTTCAAGGTAATGAAAAGATTGAGAAGCTATATTTTTTGGATAAAAAAGACCAGTGATACAGCTAATAGCAAAAAAATACATTCCCACAAGTATGCAAATCAGCAATCATACAACAAAGGCTAAGCTCTATTTTATTTCAGTAGAAATAAGAAAAGCAGCTGAAAAGAATTAGAGATTCATAACTTAAAACAAATGAACAAGTAATCTATCTGCAACACCATCAGGCATGATTTAATCTAATCCAAACAAACAAAATCTAACTAAGTAAATCTTAAGCACCTGTAGCATATGCTTGGATTAACAGCCATGATATTTATAAGGGACATGAAAGGTCATGATCAAAGAGTACAGTGATAAAGGGAAATGAAGGTGGCAAAATGAACACAAGAAGCACACAAATGAAAGCTTACCAATCATTAATAGATGCATAAGATACAAGAGATAACACATACATACCTTGGAGAGGATCTGTAGCCTTAATAAGAGTTACCTGACACAAGTTGACAGAGATGTGGATCAGTCCGGAGTAACAACTGTAATAGCAAAATTTATATAGCCAAATGACATATTACAAGATTAAACCATGCTGGAACAGTCAGTCCATAACAACCAGATTACATTCATTCAACTGTTATTTTCTTTCAGACGGTACTTTCTTGCAAGCAGAAGCATGTGGAAAAACAAAAATGTAAGCAAACACTGTAAGCTAACTCTATAATAGCTATATTTTTTGAAAGGAAGGCAAGAATAGGACAAGTATACACTCACATGCTATACAACTATAGAAAGATTGTTCAGCTCTAAATGGCAAACAAATTACAAAAAAGAAGAGCCAAAGAATATGGAGCTATACTGAGGAATTCCCCTTTGAAAGCTCAAATTATGAGGGTAAAGTAAGGATCTCTGACAAATGTTTGAAGCAAGCATACAGAAGGCATGATAACGATAATAACAAACTAAATGCAGAGTAAGAGAAAATGAAAAACAATGGATATGATAATAACAAATGAGGGAGCAGAGCCAGAAAACAATACTGAATGAATCTAAAGAAAGAAAAAAGAAAGCATACCAGGAATTAAAAATGCAGGGAAAAGCCACGAACAAAGATTACCAGTAGCAAGGAAGTTGTTGATTAACATACCAAAAAAAAAAAGCTAAGTTATTACTAATAAAAGGCAAGAGCAATGAATGAAACAGCAGAGCTGTGGAATTGAAAGCAAGCAGAACAAGAAGATGGAAAAGGGGAACAATGAAAATGTAACACATTTAAAATGAAAGGAAAGAACAAAGAGCTGATTACTTCTTCCATCCAAAACAACTTTTCCACTACAGAGCTCTCCATCATCAATCAAACAATATAGCAGTCAGAAAGAAGAGTGAGTCCTCAGAGCCCGGGCATGGACTCGACAGTTATTATATAACCCACTTAAAAGAGAGTGATAAGAATACAAGAGGACTAGAAAGGGATGCACGTCACAGGGTAATTATCTTTGCCAGACGTTTGTTAGTGCAGAATTTAAGGATGTCTGAAGGACAAACGATTATTCCATTCTTTTGTCCAGTGAAATGGAGGCAGGCTTGAAGTGGGGAAATTAATTAGACAAAATTGTTTAAAATGTCTCGTACATTTTGCTATGAATTCTTTGGTCATTCAATTTTAAAATGTTAATTTTACGTCCCTTACAAATTTAAGTTAACAAAATTTAATTCCATCTAAATTTTCGACTACTTTTTAATCTAAAATTACCACATAACCCATATGTAACCATTTTTTATGTACAAAGATGTCAAATCTCACCTTCTTAGTAGCAAAAAATAATATGAATTGGGTCAAATCCCACTTTTTTAGAAGAAAAAGTGAATATGATTTGGGATATATCCTACTCTTTTAGGGACAAAAATGAATACAGATCAAGTTATTTATTTAATTACAAATAAGATATAACATTTTTACATTTTAGAAAATGATATGTATAGGTTACATGATTATCAATGACTATTAATAAATTTAGAATTAAAATTATGAATTTGATTGAAAAATAACACCAAACTTTAGAACAACATTTATAAAGTAGGGTTAAAAGCAAAAAAACTCCATGTGGTATATCTAATATATAGAAAAGCCCCCTATAGTTTCAAAACATAATATCTCATGCTTTGAACTAAATTGTAAACTAACAGAATTCGTTAAATTTAACGGAATTCAGTAAACTTAACGATAAATTTAACGGAATCCGATAAACTTACCGAATCCGGTAAGTTTAACGGCCGAAACCATAATTTTCGTTAAGTTTAACGAATTCTGTTAATTTACAATTTAGTTCAAAACATGAGATGTCATTTTTTATATTTCGAAATTATAAAGGATTTTTTTGTGTATTAGATATATCACGGGTGACTTTTTTTATTTTAAGTATATTAATAGTTTAAAATATTTCAAGTATATTAATAATTTTTAACAACCTGGAGGTCAAACATAATATTGAAAAAGCTTTGACCCCACATTAAAACTTCCGCATTTCTCCCTCAACTTCCTGACGCATACCACAGAGCACTACTGCCAGCGTTTCATTTCTTCTTTCTCCAACCATTCTGCAGCTCCTTTCTTCTTCTTTGTTTTTTTTTAATTTTATTTTCATTCTTATTTTGTTAGTTATTTATTCTCAAACTCACAAAATATCAAGCTTTTATCTGTTTTCTTTAAAATTTTCTCTTCTTCATCTCTCTTTTTTGCATTTTTTTGGGGTCTTTTCTCCTTTTGAATACATCCTAGATCTTGTTTAAGAAAAGGCTAAAGCATTGATTTTTGATGGCTGAATTGAAATGGAAGAGTGAAAATGAATTTGCAAAGGAGGGGGGAGCTCAAACGGACTCAGAGTTAGAGGTAAGAAAGGAAAAAAATTCAACAAAAAGGAAATTAAGAAAATCCAATTTTTACCGGTTCTTCTGATTTTTTATCAAACCAAGTTTTTGACAAATTTGACCGAGTCTCTACCAACCCGAATTTTTAAAATAACTCGAACCGAACACTTGATCGATTCTTGATTCCACCAATCGGATTGGTTGATCCGGTCCAAGTTTAAAATCATGGGTTAGACCTACACTATGAGGACGCGTGGTGCATGGAAGGAGTCGGAAAACAGTAAAAACGAGGAGCAAGCTCTTCTTGTCCCACTATGACAGATTACTATATTATTTTTTCGTCCCATTTTATTAATCTTAATTTTTATTTTTCTTTGTCCTAAATTATTTGGTATCATCTAAAAAAAATGAAAAGAGACCAATCTTTCCTTTTTATCCTTCCTTCAATTTTCAAGCATTAAAGTCATGTATTTAGCATTAAATACTTTAACAAACTATTATAACATTTAAAAATTCAAAAGCAACAAACAAATTTTGAATTTAAATTAAGGAATAATTATGAAAAGAGTTATTCGTTATTTGGTCAAAGATTAAGTTCCGTACATTATGAATTAAATTGACCTTGACAAGTAAAATGGGATAGAGGAGTACCGTATTAGTTTAGTCCCACATTTGATAAAGGCATCAAACACGGACCAATAGACGGAACATTTCATATAACAAAACTTAATTTCTAATCTACATACGATTAGTATAACACATTGATTAAGGAAATTACACAAAAGAAACGAAGACACACTAAAGGAAATGTAACTCCAATTACAAGATATTTAAACTATAAGATGAATCAAGCAACTCAATATTCTAATCGAATTTGGACGTATAAGAGTTCATTTGATTTGGTTTACTAACTAATCAAACTAAATATGAACAGTATTTTTGTTTTCAGTATAATTTCAAATTTGGCTAGATTAGCACAAAACTTGCAGTTTGTATGCAAAAAATTTAAAGTGCTCAAACTAGATTATGCTCCTTCATTTGTACAGCCTATTCTAATGATTGATTTTCAAATATCATAATAAAGTTTTTATTTTTTTAAAAAAAACTCGCTTGAGTTTGGCTCAATAAATAAACGAGTCAAACTTCGTCAAACTCAATCAATGTGCTGTCAATCATAGACTCTCCCCTAAACTCTATCATTGTGGTTTAAAGGATTAACCACCCCAAAACTTATAATTTACCATGATTTTTTCACCAACAAATGTTTGATGATTCGCCTCTTAAACTAAAATTCTAATTCCGTCTATGCATCTAGAGTGATTGAAGAGGCTCGCTTAAAAGAGCAAATGCTCTTTATGGAAAGTAACATGCTAGTACAATGAAAAAAAAACACTAGTATAATGGCTTATAGCTTAACCATTTTTTTTTTTACATTTGGATAATGTATTCTTTCTTTTTTTTTTTTGTCTCTCACCTTGATATCAATACTACTAATTACTGCTCTCTATAGTTAAAAATAAATACAAAACTAAATGGATAACAGAGAGAAGCCAAATCTCTCTATCCTAAGCCTACAAAAGAAGATTCTAAAGCAAAAAATTTGAATCATCATAGGTGGGAAAGTACATATATATATATACATACATATATATATATATATTACCAATGTAGATAGATATGGTTACCAATGCATACAAATAAATTAGCCAAAAAAAAGTCTGACCATAACAGTTTTGAAAAGCAAGATGTTTATATGAGCAATAAATATAGTAAGGTAAATATAGTAAGGTAAAGTAGTACTAATAAGTCAAGAAATCACTTATATAGAGTAGTACTAATAAGTGAAGTTTAGCGGTAAAGCGGCTCTTGGACTGGTTAAGGTTATGGGTTTGAATCTTTTCCTAGATTTGAATCCTCCTATCTAATCTGAGTAACGTCGTGGGGGTTGCAGCGTATCGCCCGGTCTGATGTGTCGGCTCAAGTTCTAAGTGGCTAAAGTCAGGATATGTTCCGGATCACAAAAAAAAAAAAAATAAGTGAAGAAATGCAATCCATCAGTCTTACCGAATAAGGGAGAGTTAACTGAGCAAGAAGAGGAGGATGAAGATTCTCCATTGCCTCCTCGGAGCAAATTTCTGGCTTTTTCCAGCAACAGAGAAGTATCAGTATCTGGAAGAGAAGGCGGGAGGTTTGGCCTGATGGGTTCAGCTTCAGATACTCTCCTCATTTCTCCTCTTCCTCCTCGCTGAATTCCTTGAAATCACAGACTTCTTGATTCTAGTTTTCTACTCCCCTCCCTCCTGTCCCGGATTCGCGCAAAAAAGCTCAAGAATTTGGGGATCTTCCTGTAGCTTCCTTACTTTGCTTTTGTAAAAATAAAAGCAAAGTCACTATTTGCTTGTTGTGTGATTGGATTTTGAATCAAGACTTAGCACTTTTGCGGTTTTTTTCTTTTTTTGAAGGACACTTTCGCGGTTCATTCTCAATTCGAGCACTCAGTAGCTAGTTTGGGAGTTTATGATAGAAAAGAAAAGGGATAATTTCACATACCTCACTTGAGGTTTAGCCTAATTGCAAGGACCTCCCCTCAAGTTCTGATAATTACACTTACCTCCCTTCATCATGTAAAATGATAATAATACCCTTCATTCAAATGGGTTATAAGGGGGTTTGTTCTATCGTACAATAGCCTCAATGCCATTATCTTTTTTTTGGCAAACCACTACCATGAAGACCAACATCTATTTCAACTTTTTCAATTTTTCTTCTTCCCCATATAATGCATGATTCTATCCAAAATCCTTAAATTCTATGTCTCCGCATAGCATTTTTCAAAGGTCTTATCTCCTTTCTCTTAGATTATCACCACCATCACCAACAACAATACCAAAACCATTACCGACTCCATCTCCGAATCACCATATAACTAAGTAATTAGTTCCCAAATTACAACCTTTTTTTCCTTTCTTTGGCCGAACCAAACCTCCTCCCAACACCTGCTCAAGAGTTTCCACTTTTCCATCTTAATTTCTTTTTTGCTGATAAAGGAACAAATTTCAATTTGCGGCATCTGTGGAAAATTGGTCTTAGTCATAAATCAATACTATAATTTGGGTTTGATTCGAGCATTTTTTTGGCTCTTTTATTCCAGATTGTTCATCTATTGGTCTACGTGTTTTGCTTCGATGAAGGTTGGGTGTAGATAGTTTAGGTATGTTTGTATGCTTTTGTTTGGGTTCATTGTTTCAAAGGTATAGTATTTGTGCTTGTTTATTTGGATTGATTTCTTTGAGGAAGCAAATCACTAGAGAGGGCTTTGGTAGAGTATCAAGTATTTAGTTTTTTGGGAATTTAAAGTTGTTAAAGAGAGGAAGACATAAGCCAATAGTGAGGGATAGTTTTCTTTGGTTTTGTTTAGCAAGGGAAGAAATTAATGGTGAAAAAAAATGTAAATTAAATCACAAGGAGGTAATTTAGGATAATCAAAGGGAAAAATTTCTGATGTTCTATTATTGGGTCTATTTTGTAACCTAAAAGGTTAAAATTGGGGAGGTAAGTCTAATTATTAAAACTTGAGAGCAGGTCCTTCCACCAGCCCATCCATCCAAATGATATGATTTTCATTATTTTTTTCCCCTCAAAAACCCCTAAACAACTAAAAACATGTCTTTTTTTGTCACTTTCTTTTCTCTATCTCCCTCTTTTTAAAAAAAAAAAAATAAAAATCACAGCTTCCAAACTAGTTATAAGTGTTGCATAGAAATCAACATCAAATTGATTAAATAAAAAAATTAGTAAAAAGAAAAGGCTAAGGACATTGGCTGGCCAATTTCTCAACTAATTGGGATAAAAAGATTAGGGATTTATTTTTTCCTAGTGTAATATTTTACATGATTTGGATGCACAATGCATAACATCTATTCGCATTTACATTCTTTTTTATTTTAATTTAAAATGTTGTAAGCATTTAAAACTCATTATGTAGCATGTAAGAAACATTAGGCAGGCAAAAGGGGTCCACGAAAGAGATGAGAAACTCGAATTGTCATTCTTCTATTAATTTCAAAGAACCAATGGAGGATTTCCAGTGCTCAGTGCCCTCACTGGCCACCAAAAAATCTTACAAACCTTTTGGAAAAATTTGTAATTTTTATTATTCGTCGCTGCCCCACTGTTACCAGACAAAGAGAATCTTAATGATTGACTGCTCTTTGGTCTTGGAGGAGAATCTTACTGGCGAGAGCTGAAGTTCAGCCCAACATTAAGCATCTGATCTGTGATGGTGAGGATAGTAGCAGCTTTTGGTACGATAACTGGCATCCCATTGGACCTCTTGTTCAACATTTCTCTGAGAATCTATAGAATAGCTTTGGAGTTGGGAAGTCTGCAAAAGCTGCTAGCTGCATACAGGGTGATGCTTGGAAAATGGCCTGAAGGGAGAATGCTAATACAGAAGACACCTGCCTCAATTCTTCCAAATCTGGGCAGCAAGGATGATGTATACTGGACTGCACATGCCTCTGGTTCGCTCACTGTTAAATCAGCCATGGCAGTGACTAGAAGTCTAGAACCAAGGGGGACAATGTAGCTGTAGATGAATACTTTTAACAAAGAAAATCTGGGGCCTGGCTATGGAGCTTGGGCTAGCTCAGGCCCATTTGAATTGTTATTTTTAAGAGTTTTTCTAAAAAAATTGTACTGTAGTGATTTGATATATATGAGGTAAAAAAATAATTAAAAAACATGTTCACAAAAAATATAAAAATTTTTCTGTGGAAAATTACAATCCAAACACGTATGTGCTTCTCAACAGATGTGTATTCTGACAAACTAATGTTGAGGTGTAAATATATATATATATATATATATATATATGGAGAATTGACGAGTTTTATATAACAAAATAAGAATTTACATTCTAACCGTCAATTTTCACCTCTTATCTTCTTCTACAATTCTAAGAAGATCAGGTATAAATATTTGTGTAATAGTAATAGTGCTACCTGTGAACGTGGTTGGAATAAGTGCATTCGATTGTATATACTTTTGTTGCTGATCAATAAAGATTCAATGTTGCTTAAAAAAAAGGATATCAAATAAGAGAAGATAACTAGTAAATGATTTTTGGTTTCCTCTTTTACTAAACTAAAGTTAAATTAGAGTAAATCATAACTATTAAAGAAATAAAAAGAATAGAAAGTTAAAGCAGCTAAATAGCAACGCTCATGCACGTAATTTAATAGTGTAATTTTCTCAATAGTATATTCATTACCTTTGAGTATCAATTATGTTGTATATATCTAATTTGAAGATATTAATTATATATCTAGTATATTGTAATATACTCATACTACATACCTAGAACTTTATGATAAGTGTTTTATTTTAGTTTATTAGGCAATTCAGCGGTTTTGTATGTTATCTCAAACTTATTAAGTTTTTTTTTTAGTGTAAGCGGGAGATTTCGAGCAAATTTACTAAATTAATGACTAGATATGTCAATATCTGGGAAAATCTAAACCTTTCATATATTTGTCTGCAAACTTTGTTCTTATTATTGTTTTGCTTCTATTCTTATAAAAATTGATTTTTTTAAACTAAAACCGATGCAAATTTTGAACTTTTAAGTTGTAAAATTGAAATTATGTGACCCTTAAGATTAGCCCGTTTACTTTCTGGTAGAACAAGTTGAAGTTCCAATTACATGTCTTATAACAGCAAAAGACCAAAAACCCATCCCTAGCAACAGTTAATGACATTAAAAGTATATGATTTCTTTTGTTTGTCCTCGTGTATGAGTTCATTCACTGGCTGTTTGTGTTTCAAAGTGTTTTAACTTAGTGTTTCAAAGGTAGGTTCCATAGCTTTCTCCATAACTTGACCTCTTCTCAGGCATGGCTGGTCTCTTCACCCCCCGGCACATTAACCCATTGACAATTAAACGTAACTTTCCTTAGTGCAAATGTATAACAAATCTACCACTTTGCCCACATATTATAAGGGACCAAATTAAGCACTATTTCTAACTGTATTCTCTCTTTTGTAATCTTACGATTGATGGTTGTCCCAAATTATTATTGAAGGTCACCAATGCAGTCAATTTCAAGACGGTCATGGTCCTATCATGTTGCTTTTCACAATTAAAGAAAAAGAATGATGGCCTTTAAACAGAAAAGACACAAAGAAAATGAAATGATTATTCTAATAAGTGTCCTGAACACTAGTTAGTAATAATACGCAAGTTCCCATTTCGAATGCATAGACGCAAGTTTATATTTTTTATTCAAAGAAAATCTGAACCCCATCAAGTGGTGAAAATAAAGAGGAGGACTTGAGAATCAAATTAGAAATCTCATCATTATTTGATTAATATTTTTATAAGCTAAGTTAGATTCGATGAACCATTGAAATTCGCCACAGTGATTAGAAGAGAATTTTTAGAATTCTTTTAACTACCAAGTCCAAAATTTGAATTCCTGGTCTTGGGTATTGGAAGGGCGAGTGTAATGAATTGGGAAAAAACAAACAAACAAACAAACAAGGGTTGGGTTCTATGGAAGTTTGACTAGAACACATCTCACATACGTTGACCAATTGCTTCTAGACATTTTCTGAATTTAACTTTACATTTTAAAAAACAAACCATTTGAACTCTCCCGCAATCATTACCCGGTAAACACTAGTTAGCCAAAACCAACAAAGAAAAACCAAACATATTCATCTATCCTTTGATAAGATTCGAGATGGAGTAGTTCAGAGAATTGATGCTGCCATTATAGATGGGGAAAGAAAAACAAATTAAGTAAAAATCAAGCAAAACCTGGCAAAAATGGTTTGATTAACGTAAAAATTGTGTGACTTTTTTATACTAAAACTCCAAACTTCACGAAGGCTTAATTCTACAAAATTCCAACAACTCGACCAATGAGATGCACTGGTGAACCTAGTCCACCCCATCCATGGAACTCAAGGAGTAGAAAATATAACAAATTTCTCTTCCACTTACGTTCACTAACCGACCCAATTTCTTTTTTTCCCCCTTTTTTCCTTTGTTTCCTCTCAATCAATTTTGAGATTGTTGAGGTTTTAATGTTTGGACCTAAGGATCACAAGTTCACAACAAAGCATAAAAAATTAAAGCTCATATTCCTCTATCTGCTTTTCCCTCACCAGGGGTCTAAAGACCCTGTTAGAAGGAAATCAGCTTGGGCAAAATTATTGGCTGTGCTCTACAAGTGGAACTAAGAATAAGGATATATATATATATATATATATCTCAAATGATGCATTTACATTTGCTCAGTGTTCTGCAGAAAACCTTCAAGGGTGAGTCACTGGCAAATTCAATGTAATTGGGGCCTAAAGGATATGGTCTTGATAGAAAAATCTTGGTGGCAGAAGCTGGACTAAAACTAAATCTTCATGAATTCATCTTTGTGTAATGTCCAAGCATGAAGACTAACCTCAATGGTCTACAAACACCATTTTCTAGAAAATAGACGGACATCTGAGAAAGGAAGTATCAGATGTAAAAGTTACAATGTCAAGAGACACAAGTGCACATCAATAGTAAAACATATTTCAAGTGTACCGTTCATTATCAGACATGAAAACAGAAATAGAAGCAACCGCTATTTGTTTCCTATCGAACTAAGAAAATGGCACCTTGCCCAAAATAGCCAACAAGCAACCCCTATCTTAGGGTATTTTATTTGTTAAAATAAAGGTTCACTTTGATATTTGATACACATTTACAGAAAAAGAAGTTGATCTTTTTTCAGCTAGCTAACCAGCGACTTAAGCTGACATTGTCGTCTGATAATCAGATTGCTCAAATGTTTCCTGCTTTGTCGTTTAATGCCGTGAACGCCTCAAGTCCCATTCCTTGCCTCTCTGTTAATCACTAGTTTCTGGCTCAAGATCAAAGTACCTGACAAATATCCACTTCATCTTGAGCTTAATTGCGTCACAAATAAGGTCGAAAAAAAAACATAAACAAATGAAGAACAAAAGAAAAGATAACTTGTAGAGGGAAAGAGAATTTGATCGACAATGCTTTATTCATGGACAGTAAGTAGCCTGTACATGAATAAAGCATTGTCGATGGTATCTTCACTTCCTCACCATACTACAAGAATTGCATTATTGTATTGGGGCAAATTTCAGGAATACTCCCTAAAGAATGTGCAAAATCTCAATTTAGGCCACAAAATTTAGGATTTTCCAATTTCATCGCCACTTAGGGGAGAATATCCGACAAGTTAGAGAGTGACACTATTGAAACCACTACCATGCTCTGATAAAGGTGTTTCCCTCTTCAGCCAGTACTATACTGATATTGGATGTGATTGTAAACACTAATTACATGTTGTCAACAAATTCTAATTTGGTCATTAGCAAAATGCCTTGGGAAAAGTATCTCCCGCGAACCCGATATTTGAAACGGTAGCATACTCAAAATTAGCCCTACATGTGAGACAATCAGCTTGCCCAAGACAAGTTTTGACCCCAGTCTCACCTCTAAATTTTGTCAGACATACTTTGAAAACAATACCAAATTCAGCCTCAGTGCATATCCCTGAGTATCTAAAACAGGAGTTTAACAAAGCTATATCGCTTTTTCGATAAATGAATATGAGATAAGATTAAAGAAACATCCAAAAAACCCTAGCTAAGTTTTGACACCTCAGGTATATGATCTTTAAGTACTCCAGCGATGAGTGGCAAAATGTAGCAATTATTGATCTTCAAGTGCACAAAAAGATTCATTAACCGCGCCATGTTCCAAAATTGTCTTTCCAAATTATCACATATTTATGTAACTAGATTTTATTTCACTGACGTCAATACATGTTAACTTTATAGAACAAAAGGAACTTAATAATAAGACTTGCACCTTTAGAAGTTCAACAGGTAATTCTAAACATTGATGCATAAAGCATTATGTTGGCAATATTGCAGTGACACTGGCGTAATGACACTAGTATTTTGTGCTACTTAAAGATATCCATTCTTTTATAGCTCAAACAGCAATGAAAGCAATAAAAAAAGAAAGATATTACAACAATACATTCAAAGCAAACCAAGAGTTAAACAGCATAAAGAAAGGTATAGAACCCTGACATCAAGATCTGAACACTAGGAAATATAAACCATACACAAAAGAATCTAAAGTGAAAGTTTAACAACAAATAAATATACCTTAGCCAAGAAAAGCAATGCGTTTAGCCCATCAAACCTGCAAGAAAAGGACATGAAAGAAGAAGACGTATGTAAATTTAATATTGAATGCTATAGAGGGAAAATAAGGTGATAGGATTAAATTATAACAGTAAGTTAAAATGCAAGCCCAGTTAATTGGAAAAATGGTGGAATCATAAGGACTTATTTACTAGTCACCTAAACCAACCACTGAAGCATCCAATTGGCAAAACAAAATTTAGTATGTGGAGGGAATCTTCTTTGCATACATTTAAACCAAAAGAAAGAAACAATTGCTGGAAAGAAACATTAACATTGTAAGATTGAATGATGGAGCGTTTGACAAGTCAGTGGAAGCACAATAAAATAGTGAAAGATTCATGGAATAATGAACACAAGACAAAGTTGTACATGATAAGTTCCAAATCATGCATTGAAGCATCAATCAGATTAGAAATTAGGCTTACAGTGAAAGATTAACTTGTATGTTAGAGGTCTCACACGCTGCAATTTCCACAATTAAGGAAATCAGAAAATTTTGGGACTACTCCCAACATCCCATAGATGCTGGGAAAGAGAGTATATTTTCAAAGGTCCAACAGTTTAGATTATTTAGCAAAACTCATTCGAACACAAATAGTTAATAAATAAACATCTCATGTACAGTAATAAACATACAAAAGGAAACACCAACTAACAATTTCCTCGTGGATAAGTAAAACAACTAAGAAGAAAAGGAAATTTCAGGAATTGAAGTGCATAATCTGTTTGTAAATCTAGTTGTTTAATGTCCAGTACACCCATAAAAAGCTTAGAATATGCCACTCAGAAATTGAAAACATAATTTGGAAAAGAGAATGAAAGAAAAAAGGATGAGAATCAGAAGAGAAAAAGGAAAGAGGTACCTGATATTGGCTGATTTTCAATATGTTTCCGGAGAAATTGCGATCGTTCCTGTATTTTTAACTGCAACTGTCTCTGAGCCTGATAACAATTCATATAATAGTATCAACAAACAATCAAAAGACAGTTACCTCAAATTTCCCTGTCAGGAAAAGAACCAATCGCTTCATATACAAAATAGTAAGTCAATAAAATACGAAGCAACAGACCCAGATGACTCTGTAGATCTGGGAATTTGAGACATGAGTATCATTACAGAATCATGTGGTGAAAACAAAGCCTCAGTTGTAACTTCACTAATTTCATGTATCTGAGATGATTGAATAGTCAAAAAGCCGTAAGAGCTCTAGAATAAACATGGTTTCTGTCATGCATCAATGAATTACAAAAGTGTAGGTTTCACAAAAACCAAAAATCATCATTCAATTCTTTAGATTCTTAGCATTATGCCCGTAATTCAGAAGGAAACCAAATATCTCAGTTCACAACCATATTCCATCAAGAAATTCACAATAATACCTCAATACATTCTGTCAGTCGTTTCTCAACTTCCATCTGTAATTTTTGAGCTTCGGTGATCTCTAACTCTTCATTTCTGGTGTAAGTGCAGAATAAATAAAATATTCAGCAACCAGTATAGGATCTCTAAAAACACAGCTTTCCAAAGGGCAATGCAATAAATGTTGCAAGAAGTCAACTTGAAATGAAATTGAGCTTGTTCAAGTCTTGCCAGGTTTATAAGACAGGTCGTTGAATCAAAATTACAACACACAAGGAAGGAAGTTTTAGGACTTCATAGTAAAACCACAACCCAGAGAGAAGTAAACAAACATACAGAGGATTGCAGGAAACAGGGTAACAATGGCAAGAGGAGAAAGAAAAGACCAGAGGGGAATGGGGAGTAGGTCAACCAAGGTTTCAAGTGGGATTGAGGAGGAGTGGCTGATGAGGGATATGGGAACTAGTGCTTTTGCAATTACTGCTATTAATTTACCTTTTGAAATTCAATATAAAGGGTTAAAATATTGCAACAAAATGAGAATTTGAAGACTGACATGGTTGAATAGGTGTAATTTAGATGTGAATGAAGCATATTATTATAGAGTATAATTGGATGCGGAGTGTGAAACTCTAAGTGACATATGGATACGAATCCATTAATGACGAAATTCACGACAACGAAACCTAGATCGATTGTGATTATCTCAAGCTTAAATTTGGCAAAATTTCCTACTCTCGGACCCCTCTAATCCCGTGATTGGAATTTCGATATTATTTCGACCCTCAATCCTACGAATTAGTGAACCGTAGGAATTGTTAGAAGCCGCTGCAAGGATGATATTCTTGATTAATAAGCGGAACGAACTCTAGATGTTCAAGAATAGTTCGTACAGCCAACAAAGCAATCTCTCAGGAAGGTTTTCTGAAATATTGTAATCTGCCATTAACGAATGCAGAACGATGTTTGTATGTGTCTTGACACATAACCAATCACGGGCTTAAGAAACGACACGACTAACTGGACCTAAACATGCAGCCCAAAACCCTAACAAAGAAACACGGACCCAAGCTTAAGGCTGGACCGTATTATTTAGCTACTAATTCAAGCCCAAATCTACAGACTAAGCTCGGCCTTCAAGAAGCATCTTCAACCATGGCTTGGAGCAAATTAACAAGACTCGATTCCATGCTTGGCGCTTCAACTGATTCCTGGACAACCTGAACCATGGCTTGTAGTGACTCGTTGAGGCACTTGGCTCGAGTTCACGTCATCAGACCCACTAGTAGTTCCACAGATCAAACTTCGGCGCTTGCATCGACCTGGACAACCTTGGATACTCCATCACATATTATAGGTAAAATTCACATGCAACAAGCTTTCATTAAAAAAATACATGTACATGTAGCTTCGTGTACTTATATGTTTGTATGCAGAACAGAGTTTATGTTCTCAAGCCAAGTGCCCTTTTTTAGATATATAACTAACAAAACTCAAGGAAATTACCTGTGCCTGTCATCATCGCTCTCAACAGGAAAGGGAGAATTAACTGAGCAAGAAGTAGCTGGTGGCAAGATTATCTGGTCATTCCCAGTTTTGTCATCACCAGAGCCCTTCATCATCTTCTCCTTATGTCCTAACCAATGCATCTCCCACAATTCTTTGTTTCCTCCTAATGTCATTTCCAAGAGCAAAGCATCTGACAGAATGTGTAACTTGACGTTTAGATTAACTTACAATACAAGGGAAGAACAAGTAAAGTAAGAAACAAATAAACATAAACATAAACAAGGAGCAAAAGTAAAATTTACTTATTCACCTGTCTCACTTACTGAAGAAGATGATAAGCCAGTCCTGTTTCGTTCGACTTTCTCTGCATCATAGATAGCTTCATTAACTCATTAAGCTCTACCAATGCCACTCTTGTCGTCCCATCATCCTATGACCCTCCTCATTGCCCAAAAAACTAATACTTTGGAATAAGTTTCCATTGCTATTTTCTTCTAAAGCTAAGATTCCCAAGCCCTCAGCCTCAATAATCCTAAAATTACCCAATACACAAATCAACCAGCATATTAAAGAACCTGACCTGATCATCCAACTCAATACAACTATGGGCCAGAGATGCCCAAAATCTTTATTTGTTAGTTGACAAGCTCACAACCAATTGAGATGATAATCGATTCTTCAAAAAACAATTCAACAACTGATCATCCACATAGTAATTAAACTAAACACTAGTTACACCATAAGTCAATTAGTGCTAAAAATGATTCGCTTTGTTAAAAGGGTTTCAACAATTGTCACCACCAATACCACTCATGACAATGTAGACACTAAAACAATAAAAGTAGACGCTAAAACAGTAATTAGCTGAAATATTTTGTTTCCAGTAATTGTCACTGAAATATCCCACTTTCAACAAACGATTCTCCCACTTCCAGTATCCATCCTATCCATATGTTGTTTTGTTTACAGTAATTGTCACTGACAATGTCTAAATAAACAATTGAGCAGCATACCCTCTCCTGAAAATTTTCGTACAAAGATTTCGTGGCTGACAAAAAAATGAAATCAATCAGTCTTACCACACAAGGGAGAATTAAATGAGCAAGAAGAGGAAGCAGAAGATTCTCTATTGTCTCCTCGGAGCAACTGTCTGGCTTTTTTCAATAAAATAGAAGTACCAGTATCTGGATAAGAACACGCGAGGTTCGGCCTGATGGGTTCAGCTTCAGATGCTCTCTTCATTTCCTCTTCCTCCTCGCTAAATTGCTTGAATCACAGACTTCTTGATTCTACTCCCCTCTGTCTTGCCCCGGATTTGCACGAAAAAGCAAAGGGATTTGGAGATTTTCCTCTGCGTATAACTAGCACCTTGACTTGAAGTCACTGTTTGGACGATTTGAATTCAGCCATTACTAGCACTTTCTTGGTTCTCGCGCAAGTCGATGACTTTTTAAGTGTTGACTCCGAGTAAAGAGCAAAGGTGTAAGAGTTAATTTTTAATAAAAAAAAAACACTAAAAGAGACAGTAAAATTTTCCAATAAGATTAGATAGGGATCAATTTTTTGGAGAGAATTGAGTTGAGTGATAAGTTGGAAGTTTTTGAATTCAAAATTTTCTACTAATAATAATAACAGTAATAATAAGCAGAAAGGGATCAATTTTTCGGTAATATAATAATTTACGCTAATTAGTAGCATAACATATAATCTCCATCTATATTTAATTTTTTTATTTCACATATAGCATGCATTTAAAACTGGTTACTAACATATATATTTAACATATATAGCATGCATTTATAGTTAACGTATACATTGTCTGTGTACTAACATGTCTAAATGATCATGCAAGACGCTTTAGTTCAAGATTATGTGGTTAAAGTATATCATAAGGTATTGAGTAGGAAAATGGTTCCACAAAGTAGATGAGGAGCTCGAATTCTTATTCTTTAATTTATCCCAGAGAAGTCATAGATGTACCTCGCATTCAGGGGGTTTTTGCATGTATTGTTTAGAAGTATATTTGAAAAAATTCTAATGTATGTTTTCTAGGAAAGTAAGTAACACGTGTGCAAAAAGAAAGATGGTTGAAAAAAATAAAAACGAAAAAGTGATTCAAATATGTAATTGGAAAAAATACAAAAAGAAATCCAAAATAATAGCTATCGAAACAGCGACTAGGGTCCAAATAGTTGTCAAAAAAATTGTTTGGGCCGGTATTGTGTCAATTCCATAGGATGTAATTTTATTTGTTTAGAATGTAACTTACTTTCAATAACTTGTAAATATAGAACAAAACTTATGGGCCCTATACATGGTGTTAAAATCAATACACAAGATGGGCCTTACATTTTTTTTTTTTGGTAAAATCATGGCCGTCAGCCTTTCTGGACGGTTGCTACTTGCAACCAACCTTACCCCAACTCCTCGAAACAAAGCCTGAGTTTGCTTTTGAAAAGCCTATCATAAGCAAAAATAAATATCAGTAAAATATGGATATACTTTTTCTGATTTAGGGTTAGATTTCATCTTTTCCTTGTTGATTGTATAAATATAACAAAAATGAAATATAGTTTGAAATTCGATTTCGGATAGGAAGTAACCTAAACATAAATAGCAACTAATAGAAAGTTTTGTAGAATTCAAATATATTTAAAAGGCTAAAGTAAATACAAATGCTACAAACTATGAACATATCTAGAATTTAAACACTTTTTCACTCCCTGACTTTTATTAACCTACGGTCCATTAGTTAGAACTTGTGCAATCCAATAATCTAATGCATATTCTTGGTATTAGTACAACAAAATATGTATTGCATAATCAACAATGACATGTAAGTCATGTAATAACTATCGTTATGGTAATTAAACAGTTTTTATCTGATACAATAGGTTATCATACTTTTAGCGACCATTTAATTACCTATTGGACCGATCCACCTAAATAGGATAATGCATAAAAATAAGGAAGTAAGTTTCTTATCTTAAATAGTAAATTAACAGTAATAAATTACTAATTTTTGTGTCTCAAAAGGTAAATTGGAATAAATATGAAACTTAATTTTTTAAAGAAATAAATTACTACTTTATATCGCAAACATACTTTCTCGAGAGTAAGTTTAATTCAAGTAATAGTAAGTTTTTACACATAAATAGTAATTCTTACTTATAACATAGTAAATTTGATTAATGACCAAAACTTACTAATTTATGGGCACAAATATACTATTTAACTTAAAAAACTTATACCAAACCAATACTAGGAAGTTTATTTGAAATAATGATAAGATGTTCTATTAATGATTAAAACTTAGTACCTTAGTTAGTAAGTACTCGTAATATATCTATATAATACCTGATTATATGTATAATTTAAAATTTTTTTGTATTTATATATTTTAAAATACTATGAAAAATTTTTCACATAACCTTATAAAATATGTAATAAAATTTTGTTGTATTATAATTTTGAATAATTTTTAAAATTTTTTAAAAGTTTAAAAATTTGGATAATAATAACAACACATCTTCCTAGTTATATATGGAATATCACTTATATATGTAATTTCTACAATTTAATACCTATTAAGATAATAAGATGATAAAGTTTTAATATATTTATTGCTTGGGACACAAGATGAGAGAAATAGTGTAACAATTAATACAACAATAAAAATTATAGAATAAGTATAATCTAGATTATTTTTCTCTGGAGATTGTTCACGAATATATGATCCAACCACTAAACAAAATCACAAGCATATATAATCTATTGTATAATTTAAATTAAATTTAGTTCATGTACAAAATGGTTCTAAAATAATTAGCACACTATACTACCATATTATATTAACAACAAAATTTTTTTTTGGCTAAAAGTCTCCAATATCCATGACATATGTATGAGAGATATTTTACCATATTTTTATCTCTTTTTTTCCCCTATTTGTATCTCACGCCTAATCATTGATGTTAATTTGAGGAAGAGTATTTTTCATAATAAAATCATTTTGAATTTAATTAACAAGTTGAAATTTTTTTTTTTAAATAAAAGTGAAATATTTTGGGAACTTATTTTTGTTTTTCCCAAAATTAAAAATTGCTATTTTTTACCAGTTGTTGCCATTAACATTTCATTTTCTAGATTAATTTTTATCAATGTAAAATTAGTTTAGTTAACAATAATTGAAGTTCTATTGGTTCAAGGATTGGCATGTTATTGTTGTTATTTTACATGTAAATATATACCTAAGTAATAAAATAAATAATAACTACTTTTTAAAAAAAGAAAATAGGTGCTTAATTGATTGCGTTCAAACTACGAATTCTGTTACTGCATAATTGCTAAATTATGTTTTTATTTACAAGAAATCAATATGCATCGTATATTGACTAGGACTCAATTACCGATTACTTAAATAAATCGTATCTAAACTCATGATGTGATATATATTGCATTTGGTCACCTTTATACTTACACCATTTCCTTTCTTTCTATTTATATTTTAAAGGTGCAAAATTCTCTTGATTATATTAGTGAAAAAGTGTAAAATCTTTTACAAAATTATTCCAATTCATTTACAAAACATTTATACTTTTAGGAGAAACAATGCATTGTAGGAATGGTTTACTAATTTTCTAGTAGACATAACTACTACATTAAAAAGTTAAAAAAAAAAACTTGATTTTGTTATGCTTTAATTAGGAGTGCTTTTACCAATAATAATAGTACTAGTAAAATTGGTACAAATTTCAAAACAACAAGCACGTAGACATGATTATGGGGATTTTTTAGATCAATCCGACTAACATAATAAATGTATGCCATAAACTAGTTCTAATAAATGTATGCCACAAACTAGTTTATTGCATACATTTATTCAAACTAGTTTACCACATACATTTATTAAAACTAGTTTATGGTTTACATTTATTATATTAATTTGATTAATCTAAAAAATTCCTATAATCAAGTGTAGGTTGCTTCTTGTTTAGAAATTTGCACTAGAACTTCACTATTTCTATTGTTACTAGTAAACGTACTCCTAACTAAAACATAATAAATCAAGTTTTTTTTTCCTTTTTGATGTAATAGTTATGTGTATGGAAAATTAGTAATCCATTCTTACGATACATAGTTTCTTCGAAAAGTACTAAAATTTATGTAAATAAATTGAAATAATTTTGTAAAAGATTTTATGCTTTTTCACTAATATAATCAAGAGAATTTGGCACCTTTAAAACATAAATAGAAAGAAAGGACAATGGCATGAGTATAAAGGTGACCAAATGCAATACAGATTACATCATGAGTTTAGGAATGATTTATTTAAGTAATCAGTAATTTAGTTCTAGTCAATATACGATGCATATTGATTTAGTACAAATGAAAATATAATTTAACAGTGATGCATTAATGGAATTCATAGTTTGAACACGATCAATTGGGCACCTGTTTCCTTATTTTAAGTAGCTATTATTTATTTTGTTACTTAGGTTAAATATTTACATATAAATTAATAGCAATAGAATGTCAATCCTTGGACCAATGGAACTTCAACTATTGTTAAAAAAAACTAATTTTACATTGATAAAAATTAGTCTAGAAAATGAAAAGTCAATGGTAACAATTGCTAAAATATAGCAATTTTTAATTATGGGAAAATAAAAAACTAAGTTCCCAAAATATTTCACTTTTATTGTTTAAAAAATCTCAACTTGTTAACCAAATAATTATTTTAGAACCGTTTTATACATGAATTGAATTGAATTTATATTATACAATAGATTATATGTGCATGTGATTTTCATTTAATTGTTGGATCTCATTTTTATGAACAATCTCCCAAGAAAAAAGTCCGGATCATACTGATTTTCTTATATTAATCGTTATACTAATTTTGTCATTTTTATTGTTATATTATTTCTCATTTTGTCTGGGCTTTAACTCTTATTAATTCTTGTGTCCCAGACGTAAATTTATTAAAACTTTATCATCTTATTATATTCATAGGTGTTAAATTATAAAAATTGTTATATATAAACAAGTGATATTTTGTATATAACTAGGAAGATTTGTTGTTATTGTTATCTAAACTTTCAAACTTTTTAAATTGAAAATGATTAAAAACTTATAATATGACAAAATTTTATTACATATTTTAGAAGGTTATGTGAAAAGTCAAAATGTTTTTCATAGCATTTTAAAATATATAAATACAAATTTTTTTAAAATTATACCTATAATCATATATTGTATAGGTATATTACGAGTATTTACTAACTAAGGTACTAAACTTTAATGATTAATAAAACATCTTATCATTATTTCAAATAAACTTCCTAATACTAGTTTGAGATAAGTTTTTAAAGTAAAATAGTAC